ATTCCAAAGCCACCACCCCCACCCCCACTAGCCTCCATCTCTCTTCAGCTTCGCTTGCCGCCGCCACCGCCTCTTCCTGTCGTCATAGCAACAGGATCCAGGCGCCCAGCCAAGGCTGGCAGCGGCGACCGGAAATGAGGGGAGGGCCTTTTAAAAAGGACCCCAGGAATGCTATTCTTTCCCCAAATCCCAGGGAAAGCTCTACTTCCCAGGGTCTTCCCACCACCACCCCCTCCAAGTGGCAAGAGCAAAGATCGCCACCAAATGCAATTATGTTAAATTTACAAGGATAGCAAACCTTTTGAGTTTTGCCAATAATGTTTTTTCTTCTTCTTACTTTCTACCCACCCCTAGCTCAAATCTGATGGGAACAAGGGGTAACGTTAAGATTCTCCCAAGATGGGGATGGGGTTGGGAAGGAAAGTAGGACTTGAAAATCTTGGGTGGAAATAATACTTGAAGAAACCCATCTGGGATCGGGTGGGAGGGCTATGTAACAATTTTGAGAAGAATGGATTTGTCAGTTCTAGAACCAGCGGGTAAGTAGGGGGTGGGACAACTTGAGTTGGAAAACCTGAGAGTCAGAAAGTTTGGTCTTGGGTCCGAATCTTAGAGATGCCCCTTTAACCAATGTGTGACCTTGGGTAAAACACATTCTCTATTCTAAACTTAGTTGTTGTTGCTTATAAAGGAGAAAAAACCTGCCTCTGATTAAATGAAAACATTGATGAAAAAAGGCCTGGTCAGATTATTCTAGGCAAGCAGCTTTTTCAGGACTGTGTCCTCATGCAAATACTATAAAAATCTAAGAGCTAGCCAAGACCCATCACTGCCTTGGGCTAGGCGGTTTACATGCTTTATTATCCCATGGGGTTCTTACAGAAACCTTGTGATGTGAGCATGATGTTTCCATATTACAGATGAGCAAACTGAGACTCTGAGATGCATAGTCATTTGCCCAAGATCACCCAGGGAATAGAAGGCAGAGCGAGGAATGGAGGAGCCTCTTTGCAGGGAGTTTCAGAGCTAGGTGAACTTTACAGAGTTGTTTAACTTTATTGGGCCTGCTCCCTCCTCCTGGGAGGTGGCAGAAGAAAGGAATAACCTGTGTTCCCCTCACGTGTATTTACCTAGAGTTTGCTCATGCCCTTTCCTTGGAGGAGCCATATCTCTCTGTACCCAGCATCTCAGATTTTTACTGGAATTTGTTTACATCCGTTTGCTTAATTCTCACTATGCCTCATGGGGGAAAGGAGTTGAGAGAAGCATTCTGACACCCCTGGCTAAGAAGCAAAAAAACTCAGTCCCCAAGAGAGGGGGCCTGGAATTCATTCGTTTGAGAAATAATTGTTCATCCTCTGCCGTTTTGCCAGGGAGAGAGAAAGAGCAGCAAACACTAACGATAGCTGACATAAATTGAGGGGGGAAGAGGGAAAGAAACAGAGAAAGGGGGAAGGGAGAGAAAATGGGGATGGGGCAAGGTCTTGGTAGAGAGAAGGATGTTTTAGAGAGAGAAAAAGATGCACAGAGAGAGAGAGAGAACTAACGATAGCTGACATTACAGACTCAAAGTGGCTTGTAGGCATCGGTTTGGTCTTCAAAAGAAGCAGGTCTGTTTATTAGCCCCCATTTTAAAGATGCAAAAACTGAGGCCGAAAAAGGTAAGCACATCATACAGCTTGGAAGTGGTACTGGTGGAAATCAAAGTCAAGGGGAGAATTATTGTATCTTAAACAGGAAAACTAAAAATTAACAACAAAAACAGATATCTTCAAATGGTGAAAGCAATTATGGAGATAAAATAAGCCAGAGTTTCTCAGCTTCAGCACTATTAATATTTGGGCTGGATAATTCTTCTTTGTCAGAAGGGGGAGAACTGGCTGGTAAGGGGATCTGAACCCTTGATCTTGGTGTTATCAACATCATGCTGTAACCAACTGAACTCACCAGCTAGCCCTTGGCTGGATAATTCTCTGTTGCAGAGGCAGTCCTGTGCATTGTAGGGTGTTGAGCTGCATCCCTGGGCTCCACCCACTAAATGCCAGTAGCATAAGCAACCACCCCCCCAACCCAGTTGTGACAACCCAAAATATCTCCAGACATTGCCCAATGTCCTCTGGAGGGGGGCAAAATCACCCCTGGTTGAGAGCCATTAAAGTAGGTTAATTAGCAACTGTGAGAAACATACTTTATTTTCATTTTAAATTAAAATATATTTTCTAATCAAATCAATATATGCCCATGGTTTCAAAAAAAAAAAAAAAAATCAAACAATACCCAAGGGATTATAATAAAAATAATACAGCCTGTTCCATTTTGAATCCTGTTCCTTATTGGAAAAGGCTTTTAACATTTTTATTCTTCTCTTACTTGCCTTGATGTCCCTAAATAATAGTTATCTTCTGGCTGTATCAACACTATACATTATCTATAGACTTTTTTCTGATAGGTAACGATCTAATTCATGTAGATCTGACCTTCCCCCCACCCCTTCCTCCTCATGTAAGTATTTTTAATTCTTCTATTGGTTGATTTTGTGACACTAAGTGATACATGATTACATCATGATTTCTTATTTCAACAACTGAAGAGTGTATTTCTTCTTTTCTTTAACAGCTTTATTGAG